GAGGTGCGACGGGGCAACATCGGGCAACGACACGCTGGGGCAACCCGACGCTGAAATGAGAAAAGACGCGACGCCTTTGCACGGACAAACAGACAGCATGCACGCGGACACGAGCAACGACGATACGTTGCTAGGTGGCCACAAAAGGGCCGACGCCGCACGAGTGGCCAGGCGCCACATGCGTTGGGAGGCCCAGACCACACTGACAAGCGCAGAAGAAAAATGGGCGGACACCCCGCGCATCGCCCCATCATGGAACGCAACCCCAACTAGCCTAGTCATCGTACAGCCTGGCCGCCAAAATGGGATGATCTCGAATCCGTCGACCAGGAAGAGCCCCTGGAGCGTATCGAACACGACGAAGGCGTTCGTGACTTGTGGGGCGCTGCGCTACCGTTGGCCCTGCGAGCACGCCGTCCAAACAGGGCCCCGCTAGAACTATCGGACCCTGATACCCCTTGAGCATTGGACGACGACGAGGAGGCTCAGAGCATCTTCAATCGCGTCATCACCGATCCCGTCGCCTGGGATAACGTCGACCATGCAGACTGCACGTGAAACGGCGAACCGCCAGAAGTAGCACCAGGTATGCCTGCCGACACAGAGGCGCGAGCACGTCTGGATGAGCCATGGTGAGGCGACCCGTCACCCCGCGGCGGGTCGGGCCATTCCAGCCCCGCGATAGCCCTCCTGCCGATGCCCCCGAACGGAGAGGCCCAAGGCCCGACGCCGTCGCCGGACGGCCTGCCACGGTCGCAACGCATGGAGGGGGCAACCCCACGTTGACGCGGCGGGGCAACCTAACGCAGACGCGACGGGGAGTCCCGAAGTTGCCATGGACAACCATGTGGAGGCTCTGGAGGGCCGCCCAAAACGGTTATTTTCCGTTCACCGAGCCTGAAGAGTTCGAAGCACCACAAGAGCCAGACGAGAAAACAGGTGCGCACGGGCAACCCAGCGCTGGTGACGCGCCGGAGCAATCCGACGCCGCAGGAGAATATTTTGCGTGCGACATCGAGAATATCATAGGGTTTGCCTTGCAGCTACATCCCGCAAGGGCGCGTCCAAAAAGCAAACTAGAAAGCGAAGTGCAAGCGTCAAGCAGGACGCCATCAAGATCAAGACGCGCGAGACACGCGAGAGCCGCTTCGGCTCTGCCCCGCTCGATCGGATCCTTCTGCGGCGGCAGTGCCCCACTGCCCGTAGAGCAGCTGCCAGTGGCCGTAGCAACGGTACAGGCCGAGCTAGTTGAGCCACGGACGGACGCACTGTCTCCTCACTGTTATTCTATAGGCTTACGCCACATCCGCCGACCCCTCATCTTGGCGGTCTTGCCGGAACCTCGGGTTCACAGCCCGCAGTTGCCAGGCGTATCAGTGCGGCGGCGCGTGCAAGAGAAGACTACCGACGTCGGCGTTCTCCGGGAACCCTGCCAACGTCGCACGCGATGCAAAAAAGGACACCCTGATATGCAAGACCTGCAAATGATGCCCAATCGGGGGCGCGCGTGCGGGGGAGGACAGGGGGGAGGGGGAGAGAGGGATGGGGGGTGAGGCGGAGGATGGGGGGAGAAGAATCGGGGAGGAAGAGGAGGAGGCGGGGGAGGAAGAGGAGGAGTGGGCGAGGAGGAGGTGGAGGAGGAGGAGAAGAGGGGGAGGACGGGGACACAGAGACGAAACTCTGGGATATGTGCTATTGGTTAGAAACTTGTTGTATGTGTATAGGGATCTCGCGGCACGCCTCTCGGGGACCTTTGGAAAGCAGTTTTGAACCCACCTGGCGGCCGAGGTGGAGGAGGAGGAGGAGGAGAAGGAGGAAGGGGACACAGAAACAAGGCTCTGGGTTATGGGTTTTGGGTTAGGGCCGTCTTGCACCAGCTTGGGACCAATTTGGAGACAGGTTTTGCCGTCTTGGGGTCGTCTTAGGCCGAATTGGGAGGCGTCCTGGGCCGTGTTGGGATTCTCTGGGGCCGTCTTGAGGCCCTCTTGGGGCGCCGTGGGGCGATCTTGGAGGCTCTTTGGGCTACGTGAGCCGACGGAAGCCGGGAAAGGCAACAATTGCAAACATGTTCAACAACGCAATGGAAATGTAATGAAATGCGTAATGTGCGCCTCTTTCAGATGTCCTGGGGGTCTTCTTGGAGACTTCGTGGGCGATAGTGAAAGCCTTGTCGGCCATCTTGAGGCCATTTTGGGCCGTCTTCGAACGTTCTTGGGCCGTGTTGGAGCCATCTTGGGCCGTTTTGGAGCCATCCTGGGCCGTTTTGGAGCAATCTTGGCCTCGAGAGCGCGAATCATTTTTTTGTGCGCAAACGCAACCCCGCCACCGTGCCTGGGTTGTTGATATGAGACTTGTGCGGTGATCGTTGGGATCTCTTGGGGGGCTTTTCGCGGGACTCTTGGAGGCAGTTTCGAAGCCTCTTGGGGGCCGTTTTGGAGCCTCTTGGGGGCCTCTTGGGGCCTCTTGTGGGCGTCTTGGGGGCCTCTTGGGGCCTCTTGGGGCCTTCTGGGGCCGCCTTGGGGCGGAAGGCTCGGATTGTCGGTTCGGGCTCCCCCTCTTGGGCACCTCTTGGGGCCGTCTTGGGGCCCTCTTGGGCTGTCTTGGGGGCCTCTTGGGCCGTCTTGGCGCCCTCCTGGGCCGACTTGGGCGCCTCTTGGGGGCCTCTCGGGGCGGTCTTGGGGTGCTCTGGGACCGTCTTCAACGCCGTGAAGGCCGAGAAGTAGTATGTGATCAAAATGTACGTTTTCCCATAGGAATTGACGATTTTCGGCGCTTCGGCCCTTCTGAGGACTGCTCTTGGAGGCGTCTTGGGCCGTCTTGGAGGCCTCTAGGCTCGTCTTGGGGGCATCTTGGGCGTCTGGGAGCGCTCGTTTGGCGCCTCGGAGCTCTCGTGAGCCGTCTTGGAGGAGTCTTGGGGCCTTCTTGGCCCGTCTTGATCCCCTTTTGGGCCCAAAAGAGCCCCGTGGTGCGCTCGTCTGCGGCCCGGGGGGGGGGGGTCAAATCTCCGGTTTGGGGTCCCAGGGGGGGGGTTAGGGGGGGGGAACTATCTCACACGCCTAGAGACCCACAAGGGGTCGGCGGATTTCATGCCCGATAAGGGAGGACGCTTTTGGGCCTGAGCTCGACTTCGACCGCCAACACGTGTGGGACGTCATCGATGCGGTAGCCCTTGGGTTCGTAGACTTCGCTGATGGGGAACGCGCAGTACACCGAGGTATCCGCTCCCCCGGGGAACGGCGTTGGCGGACCTCAAAAGGTTCTGGCGCACTTACTCGAAGAGGTTCAAGCCGACCATGGCCGAGCGCTGGGACACCTATACAGCGTGGGCAGAATCCATGGCGCGAACCACAGGCAACGGCAGATTATGTGCAGTCGACCCGACAACGGGATCGACAATGGTGCGAGTGGGTCGACGCAAGCGATGCTCGGGCCGTTGAGCCGCCTTTACCCGCGGAGACGGCTGGCCAGAACCCACGGGCCGCTGAGGCGCGCCCAGCCGCTGTGCAGGAGCACACTGCCCGAGGCAACATCGCCTGCCTGCCCAAACAAGGTGGCATGAGGACGGCCACTGTCTTCAGGCATATAGCTGCAGCAAAGTGGAAGACCGGGTCTAGCCTCTCTGACGTGGAGGTGGCGCACCCTGGCGGAGGGGCGACCCACCGCTGCGCGTGCGCTGACGAGGCGCCTCAGCCGCCTCCCACCGGCCAAGCCGATGGACCAGCACCCTTTGCTGCACCACCTTTGCGAACAGCGACGGGGGAATCCGACACGAAGGCTGCGATGGGGCAGCCCGTCGCGAGAGGTCCGACATAGCATGGGCCACCTCCCAAGGCAGTGCCCCCCAGCTCTGTCCGCGCGAGGTCTGGTGCGTGTGTGACGCCAGCTACGGTGCCCGTAGGTTACAGGCCGCCCCATCATACATCGTCGTCGTCGGCGGCTGATCGGCAGAGGAGGCGACCCTCTCGTCAGCTTCGCCGCACGAATGGGGCCCGTCCACGAGCGCACGTTGCCGGTTTGGCATGGGGCGCACGACTCTCAGGCGCGTGGCGTGGGTCTACACGGCACCCGACATTGCCAGATCGCGGAGCCGCGACCGATCGCGCTCGTAGGTCGCACAGCGGGCCTGCCGCCTGGAGGTCTGGGTCGAGCGCAGCCATTCACTAACAACCCCAGCCTGCGAGGACGGCACACGCGGAGAGAACCTCCCTCGGGAGAACCGCCAGCCCCCCTACAGGGGAGAAGCTACTTATTGCTACCACTAGCACGATGATGAGGACTGGGATGACAGTGGACGCTAGATGCGTGACGGGGCAAAAAGTCGCTATATCTGATCGCCTTGCTCTGTCCCTCGATATTTTTTCGTTCCTCACCCCGCCGCGGCGCCGTGGACATCCTGAGCGTCGTCATCCCCCCCGGGGCTAGCTTGGGTTTTTTGCGGGGGCACGAGCTTCGATGCTGTCCACACTGCGAGGCTCCCCTACGCCAGTCTCCGACTTGGAGGGCCGAGCGCGGCCGCCCCATCGGCTCCGGGCGGAGGGGCGTCTCCTCCGTCTCCCCGACGCCTGCAACCGTTGCGCCGCCCGTGTTGGGGGGTCCTGGGCTTCTCCTCCTTGCGGAGTCGGCCCCGCGGGACCATCTCGGGCCCTCCCCTCCCCGCGTCTGCCGTCCCCTCCTCCCTCCTCTCGGGGGACGACGTGCGGATCAGGCCGCGCGCTTGCCTGTTCATCTCCGTCGTCGCCAGTCTGTCGCACACGGAGCATTGTTGCACTTATGCGTGCGACAGATGAATTCAGCCGTCTTCATCGACGAGCTGAAGCTTGCGATTGCTCATGTGCAAGTCTGGCTCAAAGGCCTCTCGATACTTCTACGCACTTACGGCCGCCACGCCTCAACGTTGCAGGCACAAGGAGGAGGAGGAGGAGGAGGATGTGGATGAGGAGGGGGCGGGACCCCTTGTTGCGAGCGCCTCATCTCTTCCGCCGGCCGCCCGCGCGACTTTCGGCTCAACAGCGCCGCGCATTCCAGGACGGCAGGAGGGCAGGAGACCGAGGGGGGCGGAAGCCAGGCGGAAGGAGGTTCAGAGCAAGTGAGCGTTGGAGGGACATGTTCGGAAGGGAAGGCACGGGGGGAGGGGGAGAGCGCGAGCGAAGGGGGGGCGAGAGGAGGTGGAGGAGTGGCACACGACGGAGGGTGGGAGGAGGCGGAAAGACAAGGTAAGGCAAGGCAGATGAAAGGCGACCGCAGCGTTACTTCTCGACAAATACAGACGGGGGTAGAGGCGAGGTAGGGGGACGGGAGCAGAGTGAAAGGAGGGATGACATGAAAAAAGAGTGGGTCGCGAGCAAAGGCACGGCGAGACGAGCAGAACGGAAGGGTGGAACAGAGACGAGAAGAGAATTGCAGAGGGCTCGTGCGGGCAATATCGAAGGAACATGGAATTTGCAAGCGGCTTTCGGGCGCGAACACTCGGGGAAAACGGAGGCAGTAATTCAGACAGGGCGGAGGGAAAGGCCAGGTTGTCGGACAACGAAAAAGCATTATTACTTTCCCGTCGCTCCGCTATTCGGCACAATGTTTGTCCGGTTCACGAAACCAAACATCTACGCAAGACGAAGGTGAAATGTGTTTCAACGTTGAGTTGTCGCGTAAATCTCCCTCACAGCTCATCGCTTGCACCATAGCATCATGAATAGGGAGACCACTGGAGCCTCGCATAGCACAGAAACACAAGGCTACGAATTCAAGTTCACACTCAAGTACTAGGCAAAAGGAAGACGGCAGGTTCGCAACTCTTCGTAGTATGGCTCGAAACCGAAAGAATTGCCTAGGTAAGGTGGATGGTAGGCGTGTCCTTTTGCTGTACGATGGCAAGGGGTTCTATCTCAAAACTGAGCGCGTTAGGGTCCACTGTGCCGTCTGAACTACTCGTGACGATCAATCCGCCTCACCGCTCAAATCTTAGTATGGCCGCTATGTGTGTACGGGCCATGTGCTTCTGGCTCATCGAAACCCTCACACGTCCCACAGTTGCGGCACGGCGAGGTTGAGCCTATCGCGGGCCCGTGAACGAAATCAAGCCCGCGGTATACCCGATGAACGCTTCGAGCTCAGCGGGGACCTCCTGCCCGACATTTGCGGCCACACTCTTGGATCGCCTTAGCATCGCACGCTCCGCGCTCTCACCCCACTTCTCGTGATGAGGCCATTGCACACCACTGATCACCGACTTCGAGTGGCCTATTTTGATCTTCGGGTCGAAGGCTCTACCGAAGAAGGTGGCGGATCCGCTTAGAGTTCGTGGCAGCCTTCTCGCTCGGCAACATTACCCCAAAGCGAGGCGTCCACTGCTCGGCTGTGCCATAGGGCGACGGTCCATGGGCCCGTATCGGAGACATCACCCGTCCCACCAGGAGGTCGCCTTAGTTGAAGTAAGAGTTGCGATGTAATTCGGTGTCAAGGAAACGTGGGACGGGAGGGTGCATTGCTGTATTGGCGGCGCGTGTTGGATTTAGTTGAATGTTGTCCGTTATTGTGTTATGTTGTTGATGTGATTTCTTCCCCGACATGTCACGTCGATGTTGTTTGTTTCTATGTATTATTCGTATGGTTGAGTGGCGTTCCAATTCGTACGCACAATTGAGTGAGGGATGCAGGGCCTGAAAAGGTGTTCGATCAAGGTCTGTTGGGAGGGAAGGGACACGACGACGGAGAGTCAAGGGGTTGGACCCAATGAGGTGGTCTTGCGCCGAGAGTAAAGTTCCCGAGAGAACACGGACATCGGGTGCCGAGCAGAAACAGCCGGGGGTATATCCCTCTTTTCCCAAATGCGTGCTTCCACACTCACCAATATTCTTCCCATTTACATCCGTTGCTCCCGTCTCTTAATGTTCCTGCTCTCCCTTCGCCGTTCCTCCCAGAGCCTACCCCTTCTAGGCATGGAGGGACTCAGAGGGCAGTGGCCGATCCAATGCTTGGAGGGTTGCTGGTTGGTTTTGCCTAGCCAGCGTGGGTGGCCGTCATGACCGTCAGCAATATGAATAGTTTCAGGTCGAGGACATGGTCTTGAATATTACGTTCCCTTCTCATGATATCCCTCTCCCACCTTCCATTGATCACCACCATTCTCTTCACATCGTTGGAGGTCAGTGGGCCGATGGCTGGAGAATTCGTGCCTCATCTTCTCATGGGGCGTGGACATAGAAGAAGGGAGCCTTGGCGTCGCCGCGCGAGGGGGCAGGCCAACGCCACCTCCGGCCCGCCATGGTGGCCACATCGCGAGCTTCCACTCCGCGGCCACCTGCAGCTGCCAAGTCGGTGCACGCCCACAGGGAAACACAGGAGCAGGAGATGCCAGACAGGGAAAGCGCGGGGTGAGGGGGCAAATCAACTGAGCTAAGTGCAGGGGAATGCTGCGGAGGAGCGTGTATGCGTTGAGCAGGGAAGCTGAGAACACAAGGTTGCTGAGGGGAAGGCGGAAAACTATGAGGACGAACGGGGTACGTTCACATCGTGCGCCGCTTCCGACTTCGAAGATTGGAGAATTATGTTCCGGATATACTGGACGCGACCATGTGCTATCGTCGTGTCAATGTATGTTGCGGGCGTGTTGGAAATTGCTAATCTCTCCTATCCGGTATGTATGAATAGTTCCGTGTGGCCATGTCGTACCCACTTTAAATTCGACCCGCGCAAAATCGTCATTTCTCTTCTCTTCTGGAGCGTCTTCACAATTGGTGGCCAGTCGGCGTGGCATCGGAATCCAAACGCACACGTCTCAAAGAAGTTGATCGGGCTTTCTAGACTCGAGTAACGGATGTACGTACTGAGTGCCGTGCGGCAATGTTTCTGATGGTGGTTGTTGACGGAAAAAATGCAGCGGACAACATCGTAACCAATGGACGTCCATGCGTGTACACGGACGCACGTGTATATAAACGCTTGCGGTAAATAAGTCGGGGGTGGGAGATCAGGGGTGCGGAGTTGGGCATGGCCGTGAAGAGATTGCATGGCAGTCGCTGTTGTGGCTCAGTCTCTTGAGGCTTCTGGCCCTGCGGGGCATGTTTGATCCTGGCTCCGGGCCGCCGCCGCCAGCCTGGGAGCCGATCCAGGAGGCAGTCCCCGCACCTCCCGGGCCTCCGCCCGGCTGGCCCCCGCGACCGCCTGGGCGATGCTGCGGGCGGGTGGTGCTCGGGCCGGCTCGGCCCCAACGAGTCCCTGGCGCTGGCCCTGAACGGCCAGCTCTGGGAGGTGTGCGAGCTGTGCTACATCCTGGCGCTGGCGCGGCAGCACGCCAGGCGGGCCCAGCTGACGCCGGGCGAGCGAGCGTTGCTGCTGGAGCAGGCGCCCCACTTGACGGCGCTCCTGGCGGCGCTGGCAGGGCTGGCGGACGAGGTCGTCCGGGATGCCGCCCAAAGCTAAGGCCAAGGCGAAGGGCAAGGCCAAGGCGGCAGCTCAGGGCCTCGGCATCGCGCGCGGCGGGGGACGCGCCCGTGGGCGCGGCCGCGGCGGAGGCCGAGGCGCAGCGACGGCGGGCCGCGGGCGTGGCCACGCCCAAGGGGGCGCGGGAGCCGCGGCAGGTGGCCCCGGCGCAGGGGCTGCTGCGCTACCCCCCCTCGGCGCTGCCGCTCCCCCTGGCGGCGGAGGCGCTGCGCTGCTGCCTGGGGCCCCCCCGCTGGAGACTGCGGCTGGAGCGTTGCCAGGCCCGCCTGCCGCCGCGCCGGGAGGCGATGCGCCTGGGGCGCCACCCGGCGCCGTGGCTGGGGCTGGCGCGGCCCTTGTGGGGGCCCTGGCGGCGCTGCCTGCTCCAGGAGAAGGGCCGCCGCCTGGCGCGCCGCCGGCGCCTGGGCCCCTCGCGCTGCCAGGGGCGAGTGCTGCCGGCGCCGGAGGTGGCGGCGTGGCGGCCGCTGCAGGGCCGGCGCCCGCCGGCGGTGGCGCCGTGGCGCTGGCGCGGCTGGTGGACGGCCCCTGGATTGGTTCGCCGGCCCTGCAGCTCGACGCCTTCACGGCCGGCACGGTGCTGGAGACGCCCACGCACGACCCGACGGGCGAGGTGGACGGCACGGCGCTCGATCGAGGTCGTGGAGGCGGGCGCGTCGGGCCCTGGCGGGATCTACCTCTCCGTGAGCTTCCGGGGCGCCTCGTTGCCGGCCCACGCCCTGGAGCTGGACCTGAGCTTCCCCGCCCCCGGCGCTGGGCAGCCAGGGGCCCTGCACTTTTGCGCGGGCGGCGCCGCGGCCTGCAGGGCCCCGCGGCTGGTCGGGCGCGGCGAACGGCGCGCCGACTGGCTGCGCCTGCGGTCGGCTCGGAGCTTGGTCGAGCCGTGGGTTCGGCTGACCTTCCGACCGCCAGCCAGGCGGCGGTGCGCCAGGGGATGGCGCCGCCCCTGCGCCCGCGAGAGGCCGCCTCGCGGGGGCTGCGGTTGGGTTCGCGGCGGCCGCGGCTCCTGCGGGGGCGGCCGGGGCTCGCCCGCTGGTGGCTGGCCGACGCCGTCACGAGCAGTCGCGAAGCGATGGCGAGGAGCGGGCCGGCGGCGACCAGCTGGATTTTCGCGTCGCCCCCTCCCGCGGCAACGCCATTCTGGCGGTGGCCGACGGGCGCCCAGGCACGCTGCACAACGAAGCGATTGCCCAGATCGCGCGTGTCATGGGCCTGCGGGAGGGGGCGGACGGACAGGGGGTGCGTCCTCGCATCAGGGGCCGCCTCCAGGCCTTGGTCTTCGGCCACCACCCGTTCCACTCGGTCGGGGAGCGGACGGTGCGCGACCTCCAGACGCTGGCCGCAGCGATGGACCTGCTCGAGGATGGCTCGCTGGCGTCGGTCGCGGACACGCTGATGCAGCGGTTCAGGGCGCTGGAGATGGCGCTGAACGACGGCAGCTGGTGCATCGCCAACGAGCTGGAGGCGGTCAAGGGCATCCGCCCGACGCCCGCCTCCCGCGACGAGCAGGAGTCGGCGCGGAGGTCAGCTACGCTGCGGCGGCGGCTGGAGGAGGTCCGCGCCAGGGGCAGCCCCCGGCCGCTGACCCGAGGAGACGGCGGCTGCGGAGCCGCCCCGAGGGCCCTCTCCAGGGCGGAGCCGTGGGCGCGGGAGCGACCCCGCTCGCCGCGGTCGGGCCTTCTTCGCGACGAGGCGCGGCCCGCCCCGGCGGGGCCGCGGCGGCCGCGGGCCAGGCTGCCAGCGGGCCGGAGGGCCCCGCAGCCGCTCGCGAGGCCTCGAGGTCCCCCGCCCGAGCGCCCTTCGACGCCGGGGGGTGGCCTCCCTCGCCGCCCCCCCCGAGAGCGCCCCGCGGGGACAGCCCCCGCTCTGGTGCTGCGGCGGCGCCGGCCGTGTGGAGCTGCTGGGCGCTCCCGAAGTCCGCGCCTTTCGTCGGGACCAGCCGGCAGCGCAGGTCGGCGGGGGGGCCCCCCAGGTGCGGGGCGGCAGCCCGAAGGGCAGGGGCAAGCGCCGCGGGCGTCGGGCGCCGAGAGGGGGACTTCCTGGCCGCGGTCGGCCGGCGCCCTGGAAGGGCTGCGGCGAGGGCCGCTAGCACTGGAGGCTCGGGCGCGCTCAGCTGATGATGCACGTGAGGATGCGAACCCTCTGGGCCCAGCGGGAGCTCGTGCTGGCTGCATGGGCGAGCCAGAGCCGCCAGCTGATTCGCTAGCAGCAGGCCGGGAGGCGGCGCGCGCGGGGGCAGCTTGGCCAGAGGCGGGCGCCCCCCTGGCGGTGCTCTTCCGCACGTGGCAGGAGAAGGCTAGGGCTGCTGCCGAGCCCTCCCGCCGCCCGCTGGACGCGGGCCCGATCTTCGAGGAGCTGATGCGAGAGTTCCCAGGGTCGCTTGGGGTCTACGTGGTCAAGTTCACGCACAGCGGGCATCGGCCAACTAGACGGGGGCGGCTGCAGCGTGATTTGCAACCGCTACCCTGTCCCGATCTTGAAGCTTCGGACTTCACAGTGGAGGAGAAGATTGACCCAGGCGACCTGGCCTCGCTGCAGTCTCGCTCGAGGGTAATCGTGATGGCTATGTACTGGGAGGCCGGCTACCGCCACCTGAAGTGGGCCGTCGTCTGCGGGCTGGAGCCGAATGCGGCCCAGCGCTCGGCTCTCCTCGGGATCGCGCGGCTGATCTACTCGAGCGTCGCGCTCGAGCCCGCCATGGCCGGGACCCTCGACTGGTCCGAGAAGCTGAAGGACCGGGCCATCGCGCACGACGGCTCGGAGGTCTCCACGCCGAGCAAGATCACGCTCGAGCAGATCGAGGGCGGCTTGCCGCCTGCGGGGGTAGCCGCCTCCATCGAGGCCGCAGATCTCGCCGCGGACTTCGTGTGGGCGGCGCTGCTGGACCCCGCCCTGGTCCTCCTACCGCCGGCGCAGAGGCGCCCCGCGCCGACCTCGGCGCGCGTCCGGGCGACGGCGCAGGAGTGGGAGCAGGTGGTGAGCGCCCTGCTTGCTCGAGGGGTGGTCGCCCCGTTCGACGAGGGCGAGATCGCGACCAGAGACGGGGTCCATTTGATCGACGAGGCCTTCGGCGTGGCGAAGGTGCACGTCGCGCCGGCCCGCTGCGGCGACGGCGAGGAGCGGCCCGCCCTGCGGCCCATCGTCAACCTGATCCCCGCGAACGCGTGCCAGCGCGTCATCGCGGGGGACACCCCCGTCATGCCGGCGACGGGGCAGCTGAACGGGCTGGTGCTGGCTCCAGGGGAGCAGCTGCTCTGGAGCGGGGCGGGCCGCAACGCGAACTCCTGCGTCTTCAGGGCGCCCCCCGCCTGGCGGCCCTACATGGCGCTGGGGCCGCCGGCCCCGCGGCGGCTGGTGGGCGGCAGCGGCGACGGGCTGACCCGCATCGCACTGAGAGTCATCGGCGCGGGCTGGATCAGCGCGGTCGGGGTGACGACGCACCTCCACCGCAACATGCTGAGGCGGTCGGCCTCAGCCCCCCGCGGGCTGCCGCCTGCGGCCGAGGTGGTGCGCGCCCGCCGCCTGCCCGCGGAGGCCCAGGCAAGCGGCGTCGCGATGTGGTTCAGCTACGTCGACAACCTCGAGATCGCGGAGATCTTGTCGAGTGAGAAGGCCGTCAAGCTGAAGGGGACTATCCCCGTGCTGCTGAGCCGGGCGTCGGCCAGCTACGAGGAGGCTGAGTCCCCCGGATCGCCGGGCAAGGATGTCCACCGTGCCCAGCAGGTTTCCAGTTTGGGGGACCTCGTGGATGGCGAGGCTGGTGTGCAGCGGCCGCCGCTGGGCTACGTCACGGAGCTCGTGGGCCTGACGCTGTGGTTCCTGGCGAGGAGGCGCCCGAGGAGGCGGCTGGCGCAGATCCTGTTGGGGCGCTGTGCTATCGGAGACCGCTCGCCGCCGCCTTCGTGAACGCGTGGAAGTGGCTGGCGTCGGGCCGCTCGGGCTGGCTCATCACCCTGGGCGTCGCCGAGGACCTGCTGACCGCGGCCGCGCTTGCGCCGCTCGGCGTGGCGGACATGCGGCTGACCGTCGACCACCTCGCGACGGCGTCCGACGCCTCGGAGGCCGCGGAGGCGATCGTCTACCCCCAAGGGCTGTCGGACATGGGCCGCGCCCTTGCAGCTGGGGGGCCGCGGGCCCTCAACCCGGCCTGCGAGGAGGGCGTCGCGCTGATCTCCGTCTTCTCGGGGATCGACGGGGCGCGCCAGGCCTTCGAGATCCCGGGGCTGGTCCCGGCGGCGCACCTGTCGTTCGAGGTGGGCGCCAAGGCCGTGCGCGTGGCTCGGCGGGCGTACCCCAGCACCGTGCACCTGGGGGGCGGCACGGCTGCAGATCCTGCGCATCTGGCAGGCCTCCTGAGGGGCCACGGCCGCATCACGAAGGTGATCGTGATCAAGGGGCCCCCCTGCCAGGGCTTCACGGTGGTGAACGTGGCCCGCGAGGGGAGCGCGGACCCGAGGTCGCAGCTGGCGGGCCACATGTGGAGGCTCATCGAGGGGCTGAGGCGCGAGCTGCCCGAGGCCACAGTAGACTTCCTCAGGGAGAACGCGGCGTCCATGGCAGAGGACGAGGTCCTGGCCTTGAACAAGATGTTCGGCCGAGTGCTGGTGTCCCTCGACGCCGCGGACCTAGGCTGGGTCCGCCGCCCGCTGCTGCACTGGCCGTCGCGGGACCGGCTGCCCGCCTTCGAGATGTCGGCCGAGATGAAGGCGGCGGCGGATGGGGCCCGGCCGCGGGCCTGCCGAGCGCGGCTGGCGACGGAGCTGCCGCCCGTCTCGGAGTGGCTGCCGCGCGGGGCCTCCTGGCCGGGGGCCGCCGCAGGTGGCCGCCTGCCGACCTTCGCGCGCCGGGCGCTGCGGAGCTCGCCTCGGCCGCGGCCCGCGGGGCTCCGCCAGTGCACGCCGAAGGGGGTGGCGCGCTTGACGGCAGCGAGCTACGCAGCCCCGCCCTACCAGTTTCAGGACTGCTTCTGCCTGCATTGGGCGGATGTGCGGAAGGAGCCGCCGCGGGCAGTAGAGCGCGAGGTGCCGATGGGCTTCAGGCGGGGCCGCACCGTGCCCTGCATGAGCAGCTCCTCCGCCAAAAGCGACCCCGAGCGCCTCGAGGCCCTGCGGCGGTCGCTCGTGGGGAACTCGTTCCAGTGCGAGGTCGTGGCCTGGTGGCTGAGCCACTGGGCGGTGCACCACTCGACGCTGGTGGCAGTGCCGTCCCTGCGGAGCCTCCACGAGAGCTCGAGGAGCTGTTCGATGGGCCGCAAGCTCTGGGCTGGCGACGTGGAGACGCTGCGGTGTGGGCGCGAGGCCGTGTGCGAGGAGAACCTGCACCTGGTGGAGGAGGCTGGCCGCACGCCCGCGGCGGGCGCTGGGCAGGAGGCGCGCGCCGTCTACGTCGGCCGCGGCTCGCGCCGCTGGGGGCTCGGCCCCTCCAAGTGGGGGAACCCGTGCCCCGTGGTGCCGGGGCGGCCGGCCGGCGACGCCGTGGCGCTGTTCGCAGGCTGGCTGCGCACCCAGCCCGAGCTCCCGGACCAGCTGGGAGTGCTGGAAGGGGCTCGGCTGCTCTGCCACTGCCCCTCAGGCGAGCCCTGCCACGCGGACGTCCTGCTGGCGGAGCTGGGGCAGCGCGGCAAGGGGTGCTCCCAGCCCTTCCTGGAGCACCAGAGGGTGATGGTCTCGCTGGTGATGACGCGCCGCCACTCGGGCGCCGACCTTCAACTGGATGCCGATGCAGGGCGTCTGGCAAGATGTTCCGACGGCATGAGATCAGCGCTGGCATTTGGAAGTGGAAGGTCGCACGCCAGCTCGTTTGCGAGACCAGGCCAAGCACACCAATGTGTTTGAGTGCGAGGCGGCCCTGCGTTGGCGGGCCCGGTCAGTTTCACGACAGATGTGCGTCTTCCTTCACCTGCTCGACAGCATGGTGAATATCGGTGCTCTTGTCATGCACCGGTCTTCGAGCCAGCAGCTCAACAATGTAGTGCGCGCCTTTTCCCATCCTTGAGCTGGCGCTCGGTTCCAAGCGGTCTTTGCCTTCACCTCATCGGCAAAGAACCCTGCTGGTGCGCCATCCCGCTTGCCCAATGGGTAGGCGTACTTCGCCAGAGGAGAGGCGTGCTACCCGAGCTGCTCTCGGCCGTCTGGCCGCACGCGTGCGAACACTGAAACACGCAACAAGTACCACCGCGCATGCCAGCGGTTTATCGAGTTTTCGAATGCTATGCGTTTCTCTTTGCCAGTCACGTAAGGCGAATCCCTGCCTTCAAGATTATCTTGAGTATCTCTGGAGCATCGGAGCCCCGCAAGGCAGGCGAATGACACTCTGTCAGGAGTGCAACATTTTGTGCGCTCGCGCCGCCAGTATCTCAGGGCACGGCGCCTCCTCTCGGTGTGGTCACGCCTCGAGGTGCCGAGCCAACGCCTCAGATGCCTGCTCGAGTCGCCGCCGCAATGGCCAGCTGGGGTCTCGAGCGCAATGATGCACTGTCGCTGGACCCTGCCAGCTTTAGAGCGGCACGCTCCCAGCCTTTCACGCCGCTCTTGGGCGTGCCGCTGCAGGCGTGAGCTGTCGCCACGCACGCCTCACCTCGCACAGCCTTCGTCGGGGAGGTCCGCGCCAAATATCTATCGTCAAAGAATCTTGGCGCGCGATGTTGCGGGGGCGTTCGAGCTCCATCAGAACGAAGATATTCCTTATCCTTATTACATGACACGGAAAAACCCGACAGAGATGGGCATCAGATAATTCCAGGCCCTCCCGGGGCACCGGCGGAGACTTGGAAAGAGTCCTCCAAAGCATCCCTCGGACCTTCTAGACACCCCATAAGTGCCTCCACGACGGCCAAGATGGTCTCCAAGAGGCCAAGATGGCCTCCAAGACGGCCGAGCATAGCCTCAAGATGGTCTAAGACGGCCCCAAAGGCTCCAAAGAAGCCTCCAAGAGGGCCCAAGAGCCCTCCAAGACGCCCTCCAGGGAGGCCCGAAGAGGCTAAAATCATCGATTTTCCTTAGGTTTTTTGAAGGATTTTGGCATGTTCTTCTTTTCAGCTCTCCGACGGCCGAAGACGGCCCAAAAGGCCCCCAACATCGCCCCAAGAGCGCCCAAGAGCCCTCCAAGATGGTCCCATGACGGCCCAAGAGGCCCCCAAGAAGGCCCCAAGAGGGCCCCAAGACGGCCCAAGAGGCCTCCAAGACGCCCAAGATGGCCTCCAAGACGGCCCTGAGGCGCCCCAAGAGGGCCCCAAGTCGGTTCAGAGTGGCCTCCAAGACGGCTTCCGACGGCGTCAGACGGGCCAGGAAAGCCCTAAGACGGCCAAAGAGGCCCCCAAGAAGCCCCCGAAGGCCCCCAGCTGGCCCAGGAAAGCCCCCCAAAACGCGTCCAAGACGCCTCCAGGAAGCTCGCAAGAAACCCCAAGAGTGCCCCAAGACGCTCCTTAGAGTCCCCACTACTCTCCATCTTCCTCTTCCTCTTCTCTTCGTGCTCATTCTCCCCCACATGATCCCCGAAGGCTTTCCAAACCGACTCGGAGAACTCATGGTCAGGTACCTTGGCCACGCTCTACCCCATCTCTCCGCCACATCGGCGTTTCCAAAAAGGCAGGTCCGCGGAGCATCAGTCCTCTTACTTCTATGCATTTATCCCCTCCCTTCGTACCGTACCCTCCCCCCATGACACCAGGAATGCCAGCCACCAGGTTGTCCTGCGATCTTCTCCGTCATGGCAGTCAAGCCCGGGCACGATGATCGAACAGAGCACCAACTACACGTGGCGGGTAAAGGGGGCACGGGCTTGCCCCTCCACAGCCCAGGCACGGTGGCCTGTAGACAAAAGCCGCTCACATACAAGCATACACGTACGCACACCCACATGCACGCACACACACCCACACACCCCTAGCACACTCACACGCCCCTCATCCACAACCACACATACCCTCACACGCACAGGTCACCACGTACACACCCACGAGCACGCACACACAGGCACAATCACACACACGCGCACTCACACCGGAGTGCCAGCCACCAGGTCCCCCTGCAAGCGATCCGCGCGCGATCCGCGCGCACATCTCGCACAACCACCTACGCGCCATCACATACACACAGGCACAATGCACTCACACGCGCACATACACCGGACTGCCAGCCACCAGGTCCCCCTTCGGACGATCCGCCCATGATCCGCCCGCGCACCTCGCACAAACACCTACGCACACACACAGACACTACGCACACAACCCACAGCCAACACACTGGGAACCCACGGACTTCTCCAAGGTTCAAGGGGGGCCCCACCGTCCGAAGAATTGCCCCTCCACAGCCCATGCACGGTCGCCTGTAGACAAAAGCCACTCACATACAAGCATACACATATGCACACCCACATGCACGCACACACACCCACACACCCATAGCACACTCACACGCCCCTCATCCACAACCACACATACCCTCACACGCACAGGTCACCACATACACACCCACGAGCACGCACGCACAGGCACCATACCACACATACGCGCACTCACACCGGAGTGCCAGCCACCAGGTCCCCCTGCGGGCGATCCGCGCGTGATCCGCGCGCACATCTCGCACAACCACCTACGCCCCATCACATACACACAGGCACAATGCACACACACGCGCACATACACCGGACTGCCAGCCACCAGGTCCCCCTTCGGACGATCCGCCCATGATCCGCCCGCACACCTCGCACAAACACCTACGCACACACAGACACTACGCACCCAACCCACAGCCAACACACTGGGAACCCACGGACTTCTCCAAGGTTCAAGAGGGGCCCCACCGTCCGAAGAATTGCCCCTCCACAGCCCATGCACGGTCGCCTGTAGACAAAAGCCACTCACATACAAGCATACACATACGCACACCCACATGCACGCACACACACCCACACACCCATAGCACACTCACACGCCCCTCATCCACAACCACACATACCCTCACACGCACAGGTCACCACATACACACCCACGAGCACGCACGCACAGGCACCATACCACACATACGCGCACTCACACCGGAGTGCCAGCCACCAGGTCCCCCTGCGGGCGATCCGCGCGTGATCCGCGCGCACATCTCGCACAACCACCTACGCCCCATCACATACACACAGGCACAATGCACACACACGCGCACATACACCGGACTGCCAGCCACCAGGTCCCCCTTCGGACGATCCGCCCATGATCCGCCCGCACACCTCGCACAAACACCTACGCACACACAGACACTACGCACCCAACCCACAGCCAACACACTGGGAACCCACGGACTTCTCCAAGGTTCAAGAGGGGCCCCACCGTCCGAAGAATTGCCCCTTCTCCGTGCGTTGGAATGTGTCAGGCGACCCTGATCACCATGCCACGCTGTCGTTGGACTCAGCGTCTTTCTTCCCCGAGGCATCATCTTTCCTCCGTAGCCGTCTGGGCCCAGACGGTACCATGTTCTCTGGGTTGCGGAAGGTTGTTGGCGGGGCATGGCTCCTCCCTGGCTCTGCAACTGCGTTTCTCACAAGTCTGCAGTGCCGTCGCACACGCTACACGCGTTGTGCTGGCGACGACGGCCAACCCTCTCAAGTGCACAAACGACCCGCTGGCCGTGGCCGACCCAGCGCTGCCGAGCTGCATTGCTCCCGCTGTGGCCTCGACCTTCCGCGTGAGAGCTTCAGCCAGTACCAGATCTACCGACCGACTCGAGCATGCCGCACTTGCACAGCTAGTGCTCCCCAAGCGTCTGGCCAGACCCGCTCCCGCCTGGAGACCACCTGCGCCCAATGCGGCCTCACTGTGCCCAGTGACACGCTCGCCCACCACCAACGATATTCAGGAGGAGTTCGCCGGGAGTGCGCCACGAACGGGCGCCCAACTTATGACGACAAACCCTTCGTAGTAGGCGACATGGCCCGCATTTGCCCGCACTGTTCAGCACGGCTCTTCCCTTGCGAGCCGTTCACATTCTGCTGCAATAACGGTAAATGGGCAGTTCCCTTCACCGACTTTTTCCCCTTGTATATATATACATATATATATATATATATATATATATATCAAAGACAGTGCCGCCCTCCTTGCAGCGTGCTGTCAGAGGCGACACTAGAGGTGGATCAGTCATTATACGTCTTCCTTTGTCTCTCGTAGAGAGAAGAATTCGGCTGAATAGCCAGGGTGGGGCGGGTGGAAAGGATGGAGCGGCCTCGACTCCCTCAGATCGCAGCCCAGAACGCCGCCGTGCCGACCATTCTTGGGTCGACCGTCTGGGTCCTTGGCCGAGCGCGATGAGGCGCGGAGAGTGGAGTCGAGGCCCCCTTCGGATCCAAGTCAAAGTGCTATGGCCATGTGGAAAAAGGATGGGGCCCTCTTGAGGCCCCCTGTCCTAAGTGCTTCCGCAACCCCGCCTCCCCCCAAACGCACTTATATAAACGCTTGCGGTCGATAAGTCGGGGGTGGGAGATCAGGGGTGCGGAGTTGGGCATGGCCGTGAAGAGATTGCATGGCAGTCGCTGTTGCCCGCCCGCTACCACCCTTGGCGATTGCTTTTACCTTGCAAGACCCGAAAGGATCGAGCGGCCTCGACTCCCTCAGATCGCAGCCCGGAACGCCGCCGCGCCGACCATTCTTGGGTCGACCGTCTGGGCCCCTGGCCGAGCGCGATGAGGCGCGGAGAGTGGAGTCGAGGCCCCCTCGGATCCAAGTCAAAGTGCGATGGCCACGTGGAGAAAGGATGGGGCCCCCTGGAGGCCCCCTGCCCCAAGTGCTTCCGCAACCCCGCCCCCCCCCAACCGCACTTATATATTATATATATATATATATATTATATATATATATATATATATATATATACATACATACATACATGTACCTATACATATACATATACATATACATATACATATGCATATACATATACCTATACATATACATAGACATATACATATACATATACATACATACATACATACTCCTACTACATATTTTTCTGATCCCGAACACCACCCACCCCATCCTAAACGGGACCCCCCCCCCCCCCCCAGGGACGCCCCAGACGCCCTTTCGGACGTCTCGGCGGCCCACGGGACGCCCTTGGAAAAGGTCCGCTGGGCCGCCCGGGCCTCCCAGGGCGCTTTGCCAGGCCTTGCGAGCAGACTCAAAGCGATTAGAAGGGTCATCGGGGAGGCGCAAGAGAGACCCAAGACAGCACGAGAGCGCTTCAAGAGGAATCTCGATGGTCCGAAAACGGCCCGCGAGGCCCCCAAGAGGCCGTTAAGAGAGCCCCGAAGAAGCAAACATCGTCCCGTTTCCTTAGGAATACGTGTGTATATATATATATACATATATATATATATATACCAGATTCGAGGGCTCGCTTCGCATCGCCTCAATCTTGGCCCTGCGCCCACGCGCACCCAAACACTCGGCGAATGAATGATGTCTGCAAGCACGCGATGAGCATGAGAGGGGTCGCGGTCATAATTCCCGGACGGGTCGTGAGCATTCCTGCGTTTGGGAGACGGCGACCTACCGCGACGAGGCCCTAGT